AAGTGTATAGACTTTATTATCATAAAAACAAAAAGTTTTTTGAGAACGTTTGTTTTTTGGGTTGGCAAAAGGATCAGCGGAAAGAGTATATTTTGCAGATTAATTATGTCCCTTTTGAAGAGATATAATTATTTATTCATTACTTTAATAGGAACATAATTAAAAAAACACTTGGATCAAGTGACTTAAATTGCAAAAAACCTTTGCATGTGGTTTTTTTTTAATCTTATATTTTAAAAAAAAAACTTTTTTAATAGTAAGTGATATTTGAATTATATCTTTATTTTCAATTTAAGGGCCTGTCTTTATATATATATAACAAGTTAAATACTAATTTATTTATTTATATTTAATTAATATTAAAAAAATTTTTTTAAAACAATATTAAATATACTAAATATAATTGAATAGTAGTTATATTTAATTATTTAGAATTTTTTAATTGAATATTAAGAAAATAAAAAATAAAAAAAAAACTGAAAAAAAAATAAACTAAGATTTCAATAATATAAATTATTAAAACTATAATTAAATTATTTAAACTATAAAATTTATATAAATAAAAGTAATATTTTAAAAAAAAATTTTAATTTGATTTAATAATTTATTTCTTTGGTTTTTTGTTACTTTTTAATATTGCTTTTGTTAATATAGATAATAAAGTATAATTAATATTATTTATTGTTATAATAGTTATTGTTATTATTATTATATTGAAAAACCAATTTGAATAATAAAATCTAATTGGATATTTAAAAAATAACAATTATCTAAAAGAATAAATTAATTTTAATTTTTTAAAAATTTTTAAATAATATAATAAATGTCATTATAGTAAAATTATATATAAAGATTATATTAAAACAAATAATAGATTTAATAATTTTGTTTGAATATATTTTTTAAAAAGTATATAATTTAGCAAGTGTAATAATATTAATATAAATAGTTTTTATAATATGATAAAGATAAAAAGAAATATAAGAAAACAAAAGAAAAAAGAATTGCTATAGACTTTTTTTTATACAATCAAAAAATAAACAAAACTTTAAACAAAAATTTCATTTTATTGTAAAATATTTTTTTACTTAAAATTATTATAGAAGAAAATTTTAACAAGGCAGATATAATTAGAAAAATATTATTATCATTTTTAATTTATATATATATATATATATTATTTTTTTATATTATTTTTTTATTCTATAATTTTTATAAAAAAAAAAACAAAATAATTTAAATTTGTATTATAGAATTAATAAGTTTTAATTTTATAATTATATTTAAAAATTATAATATAATAAATATAAACTTTTTTATTGATTTTTTTATTAATTCAAAAATAAATATTTTTAAAAAACTTTTATATTTTTTAGTAATAAGTTTATATACTTTATTTAAAAACAAATTTTTTTTAAAGTTTTGTTTTTTTAAAAAAAATTTTTTTTAAGGGTTTAATAAAAAATTATAAAAAAATATATCTGTAAAATTTATAATAAAAAAACTATAAAAAAATATTTTTTAACTATTTTGTTAAAAATTTAAAGTTTAGAAAAACCTTTTTTAAGATTTAAATCTTAATGTTACTATTTATATTTTTATTAAAAAAAAATTTTTTTAGTATATAATTTTTTTTTTAAAGTTTTTTAAAAAAATTTTTTTATTTTGATTTGATTTTAAATTTTAAATTTTATTTAACTTCTTAGATAATGATTAGTTAAGATCTTTGAATTAATTAATTTTTTAATAACAAAAATACAAATAAGACATATTTTTTTACATATTTTTTTTTAATATAATATTAAAACTAATGATATAATTAATTATTTAATTAAAGTTAAATGATTTATAGTTGAAGTTATAAGTCAAAAATATTATTTTTTTTAATATTATTTGATAAATACTAGAAGAAAATATTAAAAATTAGATTAATATTTCAAAAAAAAAACAAAAAAAGAAATAAAAATTATAATTTAAGAGAAGAATCATTAATAAAAATTTTGAAAGAAATTAAATAGTATAGTTAATATAGATAATAAAAATAGTTTAGAGATATTAGCTATTAAATGAACTTCTTTGAATAGTTTTTTTTTTAATTGTATTTATCAATTTTATAAAATTATATTATTAAAATACATATAATTTTAAAAAATAATATAAATCTTAATTCTTTTTCTTAGATAAACAAAATTTTCTCTTTAACTATTTCTAGAGACCTTAATTGGTTGTAGCTGAAGATGCTAGGCTTGGTAGGCTTGTACAATATTTAGTCTTTGGATTTTTCCAATATTTGACAAGTTATTAATACAATAAAAAAATAAAATAAAATAAAAATTATATCTAAAGATTACGGTTTACCCTCGCTATAATGGATCTGTCGGGCTGAAAAAATACCTCCATTATAGCGAATATCCACTATAACGTTATATATTGTAATAATAAAAAATTAGAATATTGCTCCGCTATAACGAGGGATCCGGTTTAACGGAGTCCATTATAGCGAGGGACTGTATATATTATTAACAAATAAGTTGAATTGAAAAGCTTATACAAAATATTTATGTTTTATATACGTAGTATAGTGTAGGACAAGAAAAGGTACCAATCGATCTGATCAGGATTATCAAAAGGAAAGATCTCAATAATTTCCAGAGATTAGTCTCATAGATTTTAATGTCGTCGTCAGACAGATCTCAGAACCGTTCACAAGGTCAAGATGGCAACAATAGGGGGGGAAATCAGGAAGGCGCACCACAGCAACAGCAGCAAGAAACACAATCTGCCTTCCAATCAATCATACAAGTGATCTTTCGAATCATGATAGTATATTGGCTTGTCACTTTTATATTTAAAGGTTAATTTCATTTGCGTAATTTATATTTTCCCGGTCATTAAAGAAATCTTTAGATTAATTGTTCTTCCTGTAGGCAAAAATAATACACCATCTACTCCACCTCCGATTATAGATGTCCCGTCAGGAGTAGACATACCACAAACTCATCCAAATGAAATTAAACCGAAGAATCTTTATCCATCGTGGCCAATGGGTTCAAGCATGGTAGACTTCCCTCTAATTTTCCATTGTGATAAATGTTCGCATTTAATAATGTGGCGTTTTAATAGGACTTACATGTGTACGTATCCGAGAAAGAATATTTTACCGATTTCAATGATCCTTCTGCTCTCATATGGCATACTTCAAATATTCATTATGGGGATTGGAACGAAGAAAGAGAGAGTGAAGTGGAAATTGAGACTTCTGCGGTAAGTTTAAAATAATTCTCCACTTTTTTCACTTGATAATTAATTAAGGTTAATTCTCTAGGCTGTACGAAACAATGGTTCCTTGTATGCACATATTTACCTTACTCTTGAAAAAGCAACTCCAAACCCACTTGAACCAGGGTATCAGGATGGCATGATAGTTTACACACGCAAATGTATTATTATTTAAATTATATTTAAGTGTAGTGTTTTATTATTTTGAAAAAATATTAATCAATTTTCACTTCATAGTATTAACAAGGTATTACCCGAAACGAAAAATAATCAAGACCAAAAATCTCATTCTTGATAGTGGTGGAGATAAAGAGATAGAGGAAGAGGATGTATGAAAATATTGATTCAAAGAATAATTATGTAAACAATTTAGTTATGCTTAATATATATATATATTTAAATTTGTAGACAAATGCTGATGAAATTCCTATTGTTTCGTACTGGAGTCAGAACTTAACGCTCAACATTGTTTCTGATTATGCTATAATCCCATATCATCAGTTGCTACCATCAGTTGCTTCAGGTATTTGCGCGTTTTAATTCTTTTGTAAACAGTTATTTTGTCATTGATTCAAATTTTTTGTTGCAGTTGTTTCATTGGATCCAAGCAAATATATCGATCCAAATACACAGGGTGGATATTACCTTCCTGTTTTATTTAATAATGATTTTTGGGTTCTCAGGGAGCATTTAACGCCCATAAATGAGACCGTCAAGTACGTGTTGTTCACTTCATTTTCATTCTTGACGATTTAAAATAATTCTCTTAAAATATTATTAATTTTTACATAGAACTTTACCATTAAATATAAAATATTATCCGTTATCTTTCTGGAAATTACAATTATATATTCAAATGGAAGATTCGATTCGAAATCAGGCATCAATGTTAGGTTCAGACGCGCATAGTGAATTTGATGAAATGAAAAGGATGCTTCGAGAGACGAATCCCATTTTACTAGGGGTTACATTCACTGTGTCAATATTACACAGCATATTCGAGTTTCTGGCTTTCAAAAATGGTTAGATGCTAAATATTATATATCTATACCCCATATATGCTTGGATTGAAATTACTATTAATATACATTTATTTAAAAAATTATAGATATATCTCATTGGAAAAATAAGAAAGAGATGACTGGTGTATCTGTTAGATCGATTCTTTTAAATATCTTTTTCCAAGTGGTCATATTTTTGTATTTGATGGACAACAACCAAGAAACAAGCTGGATGATTTTGATTGGTCAAGGTGTTTCAGTTGCCATAGAAGTATGGAAAATAAAGAAAGCCGTTGATATCGAGGTGAGACTTGATCTTTTTTTATTTTTTTACCTCAATCGTAAACAAGACGTTTTTTTAAAAAAATGATTGTTTTCATTATTACCCAATAAGATCAAACCTTCCCAAGGTACTTCTTTCATCCCGTACACTATAAGATTGGTGGATAAACATAAGCTATCTGAAACTGAGGAGAAAACAAAGGAATATGATCAAATCGCATTCCTTTACCTGTCACGAATAGCCTATCCTCTGTTGGCTGGATATGCTATTTACAGTCTTGTTTACAACACACATAAGAGTTGGTACTCTTTTATACTGGCCACCCTCGTTGGATTTGTTTATACATTTGGATTCATCATGATGACTCCGCAGTTGTTTATAAATTATAAACTTAAAAGTGTAAGTACGAACTTTATCATGACTTTTTATCATAATTTCTATTTATTAAACTTAACCTCTATTGAAAAGGTGGCACACATGCCTTGGAAAACTCTAATGTACAAGACTCTTGGTACCTTTGTGGACGACCTATTTGCTTTCTGTATAAAGATGCCAACATTACATCGCCTGGCATGTTTGAGAGATGATGTTATATTTTTTGTGTACCTGTATCAACGTTGGGCATACCCAACCGACAACAAAAGAGCGAATGAGTATGGTCAAGTAGAAGACGCAGGTGAACAAAATGCAGAAGAAAATGAACAAAAGACAGAAAGTAAAAAGGACAAATGATAAAGAAATATTAATATTTAATACAATTAAATATCAGATGAAATTGGAGGTTTGTTAAGGTTTATAGATTGTATAAATATTTGATTAATTTTTCTTTAAAATTATTGTACCAGTAATTGTATCAATTTACATTTCCTTGAAAAAGCGAGAAATTTACACACAACAACAATTTCCAACCCCATCACTTGCATCGTTTTTCGACTTTCATGAAAGCAATGTGTTTCTTCTCGCTAATAATCTTTGCATTTATATTCAGAATTAGATCTTTCATTCAACGATGATTTTACTTTTGCTACAAAATATCCTACCGTAGCTCATGTAGATTATAAGTCAACCATAATATATAATCTGCCTAATAAATTCATAAAAAAAAATATGTATCTTCCTCTTCATTTTTTTTATCGCACGAAATTCTGTTATCTATACTTGATACAGAGGTTGAAGTGACATTAGATGGTTTGAACGCAACTATCGGAATTTTCGCGATAGCTTGGGAAAATATACAGGTTCTCTGAGGAATCTCATTTAATGTTTCTAAAAATTGTAGACAAACATTGCACGTATAGTAATGATGAGACCGATTAACTTTAGAGAATTTAAATCAACCAATAAAATTTACCGTGATCAAATTCATCATCATCCAAATTCTTAATGTACACCCATCCATCGTTTTCATCAGGCCAATCGATTTCGTTATTCGAAGAATTCGATTGAATCGAATCGAATTTCTTTTTTTGAAAAGTTTGAGACGGCGGAGTCAAGAAAGATGAAGACGACAAGGAAGGTGATGAAAATGAATAATTTGAAATAAGTTCTTCGATTACGGGAGCAATTTTTTTCTTATTGGTTTTATGATCAGATTTATGTGAAGTTGATGTAGAATTGGAAAGTTTGGTGAATTTTTTTAAGGCGGTTTGATAATATTTCTTATAATTCGCATTTTGTGACATTATTTTTGGATGTTTTGATAAACTCGGAATTATTTTATTGAAGAGGTATAGATAAGAGAGAAGGAATAATAATATGGGAAATATTTGAACGAAGAAAGAACCTTAGGGTTCATCATCTTTTAAATCAAGTATGAGTAATGAATTAACTAATAATATATCATGCTCTTAGTGAGAATAAAAAGGTGACTTGAGGTTATATTATTATTAGCTGATCAGCTAACTACAATCATATTGGATAAATTATTCGGTTGTTATTAATGCGATTTTTTTTAATAGTGGTGTGCATTGAGATTAGAATTTTGTAGTAAACGTAGATTGTGCATTAAAATCAAATAAGAAAAATTTTATATTGTATAATCATTTTGTACATACAAATTATTTAAATACGTATATCTATTTAATAATATTTACTGTATAAGTTAATTTTACATTTAACATAATAAATGTTTCAGTATACACAGTATAAGATTTTTGAAATTTATGAATTTTAACTTGATAATGATTTCTAAGATCATTTAATTTTATCATTTGAAACAAATCCTTATGTTAAAACAATGTTTCTTCAAATTCCAAGTTTGTCAAAAAATATATACTGTATATACGTATATATGGATTTAATTCTGTTGAAAATCTTATTCCTAAAATTGATTTTACTTTTTATAATTAAGCATTTATCATTTATTTTAAAAAATTACATACACTATTGATTTTTTATTATTGAATATTTTTTTTATTAAGAAAAAAACAAAAAGCAAAATTTGCACAAATTTTTATACTGTTTTAATATATGATAATACTGATTTTTAAAATCAATGAAATATACTATATAATAATAGTTTATCATTCATTTATCATCATTATTTCAAATATATATAGTATTTTAAAGATTTTTGTTATTTTACAATGTATAATAATTTCTCTTTATCCAAACCAACATATACGTATATTATAATATAAAATGTGTATAGTTATTTTTTTCTATTTTTAATAATTTCAAAATCAGCATGTTCTATGTCAAGTTTTTTTCAAGAAAAGTAATACCTTCATTTTCAACCTTACATCTGGAATACTTACACTTAGGACAAAATGTATCAATACTTAAATAAGATTTGGCCATATGTTTTTCACTATAATTTTATTTTTTTTGAAATACATGTACATTAAAAAAACATTTGTTAGAATCAATTGCTATTAAAATTCATCTTTTTTCTTTAATGCAAGGCAACAGATGTGTCTAGATAAAACGTGTTATTACAATAACACGCTTTGCGAATAAGTCACATTTAAGATGATTCATGAAATTTCTTTTGGTTATCTAAATGAGATTATTTAGCATGAGTATGCAGTGCGCGTCAAGAGTGGTGGCAGACTTAGCACACAGAAAATTTTTTATCATGTATAACCGAGTCGCTAGCTAAGTTTATTGTTGCTATCATTTTGTAAAGATTTGGACCTTAACGAACGTGGTAAGTAACAAGAGAACATCGACCCTTATTGGTTAAGAGGCGAATGCTGTATTAAACAATGTTTAACCAGAAACCACATGAAAAGAGTACTTTCGGTCTTGTTACTAGTTTTGGGAATTACAAATAGGCCAGTCGTTTAAAAAAATCAAGTATAAAAAATGCCATCGTTCTTTGATTTTTTTGTCCACAAACAGCGTCACAAGCACACCGCACGTTAAATCAGAATGAATGTTGAACAAACTCCTAAGCACATAATTTTTAATGACGAACCTTCCGTCTCCCGACGGGGTGTGTTGGGAAATAATTTATTCAGGAACGGGAGAAGGTTTCATAACCTCGAAGGTGTCAATTATCCATATCCTAATGATACAATTGAGACGAACCGTCTAAAGTTGGACCACTACGTATCGAAATATGCATGGCAAGGGACGATCTTTTATTCTCCTCTAGAAAATGAGTTAACGGAAGGTGATGGCTTTCGAGTATTGGACGTCGGGTATGTGGTTATTGATCAAATATGTCGGGTATGTGGTTATTGATCAATTATGAATTGGAATTTTGTGCTAATTCGAATAATCCCAGGTGCGGATCTGGCTCGTGGTTGATGGAGATGGCATTGGATTATCCAAAATCAACATTCATAGGCGTAGATATTGCCGAAATGATGACGAAAGAAAAACGACCGCAAAATGTCGGATTTATTCAATGCAACGTCCTCGAAGGACTTCCGTTCCCTAATAATACATTCAATTTTGTTTATCAATCCAATATGATCTCTGCATTTACCGAGGAACAGTGGCCGCTAATGATCGATGAGGTCATTCGAATTACGAAGCCTGGTGGATGGATTGAGGTAATAACAAACAGATTAAAAGCAATATTCATTTCTATTTACGCTTAATATGTATGAATCACATGCAAATAGTTGGAAGAAAAACATTGGATTTTTGAAGATTCGGGACCGACAATGGAAGAATTAACAAATGAAATAGTAAAATTTGCACTATCACGAGGCATTAATTATCACATGACACCTTTCATTTACGAGTTATTGGAGACAAATGGAAAATTATCAAATTTACATTCGGGAGTGACCATTTTCTCTTTAGGGGGAGATGTTCTGGGTGAATTGGTAATTGTCAGATTTACTATCGTCGAAGAACTAGATAAATTCAAACTTAAAACATATTCATTTACAGGCATTTAAATCATTTAAAGAATTGTTCCATGCAATCAGAATTCCCCCTCTCGATAAGATGTCGGATCTTGAAGTCGAGAAATATTTTGAGACGATTCGTCAAGAATGCGAAACAAAAAAAACCAGCGCCAAATTATATAAATTCTTTGCACAGAAAAAGCTGTGATTGTTTATCGATAGTGATCGCGCACAATTTATCGCAGATAGCATTTATCATGTCGATCTTCATTACTGTATACTGACCGAAAGTAAATTTGACTGTGCGTATATGGTTCTTTGAATTCCAGCAAAAAGAAATGATAAATTGGAAGATATCATTGGCCTTCTCATTGTCAAATTTATGCTTACCCCGCGATCTTATCACGATATACTGTATGTATGGTATAATAATAGGTGAGCGCATATCGATCGGCTGCAGTATAATAAACCAATTGGTAAAAAGTTTCTCGTCTAGTTGGGTTAGTTTGGGAAACGCGATTGAATGATTGAATACATGGATTCTAACTTATCGGAAAATCTGTTTTTCCCTACGTCTCGGAGCTCGTTATTTGATTTTCTAGCTTCAAACGGTTGCAAGAATGATTTATAATTTTGTGATCATGAAAATTTGTGTACATTTAATTCTAGCTAGCCTCTATAAATTCATTTTGTATTTGATGCGTTAAACAATCTCGTCCCAAAGTTCAAATTTGTTTAAATTCTATGCTTTATATTAAAAATACAAATGCTAATTATGGATTATAGATCATTAATTTACTTATTATCTATACTTGTTTCCCAGGGCAACTTTCCAGGGTATAATAAAGTACTGTTCTTAGGACAATAATTTAGAAAATGCGAAATATCTGGGCAACTTTGAATGTAGGGATGACTATCGGAACAAAAGTATATGTTTTTTGAGTAAGATAATTGAGATGAATAAATTATAAAAATAATTTCAGTTTACCTCCTCCTAAATGGATCTCTGTGTAGCTTTTTTTGTTGGAGTTTTCCACGGCATCCGTACAAGTCATCCTGAAAATGATAAAAAGTCTTGATTGCGTGCAAACATTCCACAAAAAAGAACGTTAGCAAAAAAAGAAATTTCTAGTGACATTGAATAATAATAATAAATTACAAATTACCTTATCGAATAGTTTTTTATCTTTGGGATCAATTCCCACATAGTTAAATCTACATGAGGTTAGAAAGGAAATCAGAAGAAGAAACGCTGATATATTCTCGAAGTAAGTAAATAATATACCTTTCTATTGGAAACTTCAAAGCAGCTCGATGTAACTCGATAAACCTTCTTTTTTTAAATTTAAATCCTACGACGGTTATATTTCTTGGGTAGTGTCCCGTGAATTCACGAAAACGACAGATAGAGAATGCCAAATTTTCATATGAATCACGAGCATATTCTTCGGTGGTTGCACTCGAATATTCTTTTGGGAACATATTAAGCGATTGTGCGATTTCCTAAGTAATTAATTAATGGTTTTTATAAGCTCGTTTATATAAATAATAATAAAATTTCATTTATTTACCCAATAACTTTGAGCCTCACTTCTCGGACCAGCAGAAGGCCTCGTTTGTCCTCTTGAAAAATATCATGATAGCTAAGTTGAAGCTAATTATAATTTGATGACTTTTTTTGAAAAATAAAATGACTTACCCACTAAATATTAATAACGCATCTTTATTATCTACTACCAATTCCACTCCTTTTCTAATGTGTTCTAGAAATATTTTTACGAAGCCTCCTCCTTTCTGAAACCCTTCTAATATCCACCCGTTTTCAAGATTCACTTTATCAAAATCATTCCCTATAAAGATCGCGTGCCCGGCAACGATCACTAGATCTCGAAGTTCCGGATGAGGTGGTTGGGGAATGAGTGATTGAGAGTCATTAGAAACTATCTCAATGCTATTATCGTTTGGTGGTGTTTTGATTAAAGAAGACTCGAAATTTTCGAGATAAAAAAAGCCAAAATTCAATGCATTTATGATTAACGATGTTAAAAGGATACAAAAAAATCCGAGGAAGATAGCTCGTTTTAATGTAATCAATTTTTTTTCTTGTATTTTAAACAGCGGAAGAATTGGCGAAAATTCCATTTTAGGGTTCAAGACTGGTTCAAAAGTAAGGGCCAAGTTGAAATACACGCCTCTCGTTATCGTGTAACCAAATTTTGAATTGAACCAATAGAATGTGATATATCTATTGTTTTATTTATTTATTATTTATATCAAGTAAAAATTACCATATCAAGAATTACATATTAGAATTACGAGTATGTATATAGTTGATAGTATACGTAATTTATCTATTAAATAAATATTTCTAATACGTAATTGGATTTTTATCTATAATAGAATTAAAATCAATTGGATTTTATGTCTAATGATTTTTTTGATTTTTTTATTACTCTTTTAATAATTTTAATATGTAATATTTTTTCTATATATGGATTTTTAAAATTAATTATATAATATAATTAAAAGTTTATTTGAAATTTAAGTAAAATTAATTGTTATTAAAAAATATTATTGCTATTGAAATCAATAGCAAATAACAATTATTTTTTTTTTTTAGTAAGTAAACATCATTTTTTTATTTGATTTATATATTAAAAGTATATATTATGAAAGAAACAATATCTCTCATTTGTAAGTATAGTGAGTTTAATACTAATTTGCCTACAAAAACCAAATGACTAATATTGAAAATAAATTTTAAAACAATATATCTTGTCAAGAGATACCAAGCAGCTATGTTTACTTATTTAGTGTTGGAGGAGATAAAATTGGTATAGCTTTGGATTAGTTTAGTAATATATTTAGAAAAGTTAAAATTGTTTTAAATATAAGTATCTATGACTAAGGTAGATAGGTCAACTGTTATTGTTGATTCTTATATTGATAAAAATTTTTGTAGGCTTAATTTGGAAGTTGTTTGGCTGTTTTTGGTTGTATTGTTAAAAGATTTACCTTTTTATTTTATACTATTTTGTAAAGAGATATTGACCATCGTATACAATGGTTTCTATATAGTATTATATAATTGTATTAGGACTTTAGTTAACACTTATGCCAGTTATTAAAGTTTGATAGAGAAAAAATACTATCAGTAATGCCATATGCTAACTTTATAACCTACTATATGTAAATTATCGGTTCTGAGTCACCATTGAAATGGATAATAAAATTAATTTGCTTGATGATTTGATTAGTTTTTTTTGAAGCTTTTGGATATTTGAATACATGTTATATGTTTTCAATACAAAGTTTATATTGTGGATAGTAGGGATTTGAATATTGGTTTAAATATAGTTGATAGAGATTTTCTCATATAGGAAAAGTTCCTAACAAGAGCTTAATGTGAAAAACAATTAGATTACGTATTTGTTATTTTGTGTATTTTTCAAATTTTTATTTGATTTGTTAATAATTTTGATACCTTGAGGATTGATTAATAGCAAATAATTTATATCACATATATAGAGATTTTCTCATGTAAAAAGAGTTTCTAACAAGAGCTTAATGCGAAAAGTGATTAGGTTATGTATTTGTTGTTTCGTATATTTTTCAAATTTTTATTTGATTTGTTAATAATTTTGATATCTTGAGAATTGATTAATAGCAAATAATTTATATCACATATATAGAGATTTTCTCATGTAAAAAGAGTTCCTAACAAGAGCTTAATGTGAAAAGTAATTGGGTTATATATTTGTTGTTTCATATATTTTTCAAATTTTTATTTGATTTGTTAATAATTTTGATACCTTAAGGATTGATTAATAACAAATAATTTATATTACATATATAGAGATTTTCTCATGTAAAAAGAATTCCTAACAAGAGCTTAATACGAAAAGTGATTAGATCATGTATTTGTTGTTTCGTATATTTTTCAAATTTTTATTTGATTTATTGATAATTTTAATATCTTGAGGATTTATCAATAGCAAATAATTTATATCACATATATAAATATTTAAATCGATAAAAAATTAAATAGTTAGTCTAACTGCAAGTAATAATAAAAAAAGATAATTTTTAATAAAAACAAGTAGAATTTCTATTGATATTTTATTTGACACAATAAAATATTATTCCAGTATATCTTTTCACTTCCTCTTAACTCTTTATAATACATAAGTCAAAATTCTTTATATTTTGTATTAATAAATTAATTATCTAAGTTATTTAATAAGTTTGTATTAACAAGTTAAGAAACTATATAGAGTTACTATAATTAATATTCTATTGAATATTAATAACTTATTACTAATAAGAGTAATTAATTTGTTTTATAAAATAATATAATAAATATAAAGAAGTTTGATTTATTGTAAAAAATATTATTGGTTTTATTATATAAAAGTTAATTTTAATAAACAATATTATTGTTTTGGGGTATTTATTTTTAAAATAAACAAATTATTTTAATATTTAATTTTAAAAATAAATTAATAATGCAATTTAATAATTGTTTTAATAAATAATTTAAATTTTTTTATTTTTTAAAAATTAATTTCTGATTTTAAAGATTTATAAGATTAAAAATATTTTATGTTATTATTATTTAATTTTTAATTTTTTTTTTTTTTTTTTTTTAAAGTAGGTAAACATCATTTCTTTATTTTATTTGTATATGACAAGGTATACATCGTGAAA